ATTTTGTAGCAAAGAAAACCAATCAAATAATCAATAAATTGTTTCGATAGATTTTTGCATTAGGCAATTTGACGTTTTGTCAATTTATCAATATTCAATATGGCGCCGTGAGCATGACAAACTTAATAACGATAAAGGTACGTTTACACTCAATTTTTTTTGAAAATGCAAATTGAATTACTTGACAATTGAATGTAAACGTACCTTTACAGTTATCAAGTTTGTGCCCACGGGGCCATATTGAATATTGATAGATTGACAAAACGTCAAATCGCCTAATAACAAGGCTAAAAAAAAGAATTTAAAATAGCCATGACCTACTATAGTTTGCTCAATTTTTTATCTCCTTTTGTCTTCATAGAATGAAAAAAGACATAAATTTTATCGGTCCTTGATTTATCTCTTTCTGTCTTCATAAAATGAAAAGAAACATGAATTTGATTAGCTTGAAGTTCCGTCATTTTGTAGCAAGGAAGACCAATCACAAGCCAGTAATATTTCAGTAGTTCGGAGTAGATTAGGGTAGTTTGGAGTAGATTAGAGTAGTTTAAGTTAGTTCAGAGTAGATGATTTTGACAGATGATTGATAGATAATATTTACAAGTGACTGACAAATGAGTTTGACAAATGACTGAAACTGATGGATGACGTCATAGATTTTCTACTAATAACGGAAAACACGGAACGAATCAACTATATTTACTGGCCTACTATAGATTGCCCAATTTTTTGTCTCTTTCTGTCTTCATGAAATAGAAAAAGACACGAATATTGCTGGCTCCTGATTGGCTTATAGTTTCGCCATTTTGTAACGGCGCAGGCCAATCAAAAGCCAGTAATAATCAATAAATTCTCTTTGTCTCTTTCTAAGAGAAGAATCCAAAATTACCATTGGCCAATTTTTTGTCACTTTCTGTCTTCATGGAACTAAAAAGGACACGAATATTGACAGTCCTTGATTGGTTTAAAGTTCCGTCATTTTGTAACAAGGGAGACCAATCAAAAGCCAATAATAATCAATAAATTGTCCCGATAGATTTTTGCATTAGGCGATTTGACGTTCTGTCAATTTATGAATACTCAATATGGCATCGTGGGCATGACAAACTTAACAACCGTAGAGGTACGTTTACATTCAATTCCAATTCAAATTGCAAATGGAATTACTTGACAGTTGAATGACAGACCGTTTGCAATTTGAATTGAATGTAAACGTATCTTTTCGGTCAAGTTTGTTATGCCCACGACGCCATATTGAATATTAATAAATTGACAGAACGTCAAATCGCCTATTAATAAGGCTAAAAAAAAGAATTTAAAATATCCAAGGCTTACTACCTATTGGCCAATTTTTTGTCTCTCTTTGTCTTCATGGAATAAAAAAGGAAACGAATATTGCCCGCTCTTGATTGGCTTATAGTTTCGCCATTTTGTAGCAAGGGAGGCCAATTGAAAGCCAGGAATAATTAATAAATTATCTCAATAGATTTTGGCATAAAAAGCTGAAGAGAAAAATCCAAAATAGCCAATTTATTTGTCTCTTTCTATCTTCATGGAATGAAAAAAGACACGAATACTTGATTAACTTATAATTCCGCCATTTTGTAACATCGGAGGCCAATAAAAAACTAGGAATAATCAATAAATTGACTCGATAAAAAGTAGAATCCAAAAAAAGCCATGGCCTACTAGATTGGTCAATTTTTTGTCTCTTTCTGTCTTCATAAAATAAAAAAAGACAGGAATATAGGATTGACTTAAAGTTCCGCCATTTTGTAGTAAGGAAAACTAATGAAAAGCCAGTAATAATCAATAAATTCTCAAATGTCAATAGATTTTAACATAATAAAGCTAAAAAGAAGAGTCCATGGCCTACTAGATTGGCCAATTTTTTGTCTCTTTTTGTTTCTATGGAATTAAAAAAGACACGAATATTGCCTGTTCTTGACTGGCTCAAAGTTCCGCCATTTTGTAGCGAAGAAAATCAATCAAAAGCCAAATGAAAAGAAGAATCCAAAATAATCAAATCGGAGTAGATTTGGGTAGTTTGGAGTACATTAGAGTAGTTTAGGTTAGTTCAAAGTAGATGACTTTAACAGATGATTGATAGATAACATTTACAGGTGACTGATAAATGAATGACATATGAGTTTGACAGATAACTGACACTGATGGATGATGTCATAGATTTTTTACTGATACATCTTTCCCGAGGGACGGAAAACACGGAACCAATCAACTATATCTACTAGCCTACTATAGATTGCCCAATTTTTTGTCTCTCTCTGTCTTCATGAAATAGAAAAAGACACGAATATTGCTGGCTCCTGATTGGCTTAAAGTTTCGCCATTTTGTAACGGCGAAAGCCAATCAAAAGCCAGTACTAATCAATAAATTGTCTTTGTCTTTTTCTAAGAAAAGAATCCAAAATAGCAATTGGCCAATTTTTTTTCTCTTTCTGTCTTCATGGAACTAAAAAGGACACGAATATTGACAGTCGTTGATTGATTCAAAGTTTCGCCATTTTGTAGCAAGGGAGACCAACCAAAAACCAGTAATCAATCAATAAATTGTCTCGATAGATTTTTGCATCAAGCGATTTGACATTCTGTCAATTTATGAATACTCAATATGGCACCATGGGCATGACAAACTTGACAACCGTAGAGGTACGTTCACATCGAATTCCATGACAGTTGAACGACAGGCCGTTTGCAATTACAGTATCTTTACGGTCGTCAAGTTTGTTTTGCCCACGACGCCATATTAAATATTAATAAATTGACAAAACGTCAAATTGCCTTATGATAAAGCTAAAAGGAAGAATTTAAAATAGCCATGGCCTTTTATAGATTGGCCAATTTTTTGTCTCTCTTTGTCTTCATGGAATAAAAAAGGAAACGAATATTGCCCGCTCTTGATTGGCTTATAGTTTCGCCATTTTGTAGCAAGGGAGGCCAATCATAGCCAGGAATAATTAATAAATTATCACAATAGATTTTGGCATAAAAGGCTGAAGAGAAGAATCCAAAATAGCCAATTTTTTTGTCTCTTTCTATCTTCATGGAATAAAAAAAGACACGAATACTTGATTAACTTATATTTCCGCCATTTTGTAACTACGGAGGCCAATAAAAAGCTAGGAATAATCAATAAATTAACTCGATAAAAAGAAGAATCCAAAAAAGCCATGGCCTACTAGATTGGTTAATTTTTTTGTTTCTCTCTGTTTCCATAGAATAAAAAAAGACAAAAATATATGATTGACTTAAAGTTCCGCCATTTTGTAGTAAGGAAAACCAATGAAAAGCTAGTAATAATCAATAAATTCTCAAATGTCAATAGCTTTTGGCATAACAAAGCCAAAAAGAATAGTCCATAGCCTACTAGATTGGCCAATTTTCTGTCTCTTTTTGTTTCTATGGAATAAAAAAAGACACGAATATTGCCTGCTCTTGACTGGTTCAAAGTTTCGCCATTTTGTAGCGAAGAAAATCAATAAAAAGCCAGATGAAAAGAAGAATCCAAAATAGTCAAGTTGGAGTAGATTAGGGTAGTTTGGAGTACATTAAAGTAGTTTAGGTTAGTTCAGAGTAGATGACTTTGACAGATGATTGATAGAACATTTACAGGTGACCAACGAATGATAGGTGAGTTTGACAGATAACTGACATTGATGGATGACGTCATAGATTTTTTACTGATAAATCTCCCCTGAGGGACGGAAGGCGCGGAACAAATCAACTACTAGTCTACTATAGATTGCCCAATTTTTTGTCTCTTTCTGTCTTTATAGAATAGAAAAAGACACGAATATTGCTGGCTCCTGATTGGCTTATACTTTCGCCATTTTGTAACGGCGATCAAAAGCCAGTAATAATCAATAAATTGTCTCGATAGATTTTTGCATTAGGCCATTTGACGTTCTGTCAATTTATGAATACTCAATATGGCACCGTGGGCATGACAAACTTGACAACCGTAAAGGTACGTTTACATTGAATTCCAATTCAAATTGCAAATGGAACTATTTGACAGTTGAACCTCAGGTCGTTTGCAATTCAAATGTAAACGTACCTTTACTGTCGTCAAGTTTGTTATGCCCACGGCGCCATATTGAATATTAATATTTTGACAGAACAACACAAAAAATGTCTACCTCTACCTATGTCCGTTATAGACTTTGAATTCATTCGACCATGTGCCACAAACCAGTTTAATATAGAAGGCAATAATGAAAAAAAGGTTTTAGACCACTAATGACAGGTGTCAAATGTCAAATGTGACAGGCACGAAATGAATATTTTTATAGTGTCGGAGGCCAATCAAAAGCCACGAATAATCAATAAACTGACTTGATAAAAAGAAAAATCCAAAAAAGCCATGGCCTACTAGAAAATTAGCCAATTTTTTGCCTCTTTCTGTCTTCATGGAATAGAAAAAGACACAAACACTTGATTAGCTTATAGTTCCGCCATTTTTGTAGCAAGGACCAGGAATAATCAATTAATTTTCACAAAAAAGAAGAATCCAAACTACTACTAGATTTGGCCACAAAAGAGAAGAAATTTACAAAGCCTACTATGTATGACAGAAAAAAAGAAGAGTTTTAGCGGAAAAAAAAACTGATAAATTAGGCCCGATACAGGCATTTAAAATGTCCTACTCTATTATCTCTGAATAAATATTTGCACGTCCCCGCTCATATCGAAAATAATTGAAATCAGAACGCACACACGCTCACCCTTAATGCATTGACAAATATTTGTCGATATTATTTATGAAATAATAATTAATGGAATTTTGTATTTATTTTATTAATAATTATTTAAAAAATATATATTTAAATGTCAATTGACCATAATACTAAGTAGGCCATGTAAATAATTGACAGAGGAATTATGACAAGTTGTCAATTTTCAGTTAAAACCAATAATTGATTGACAGAAATTTTATTTGACGTTTCTCAAACATATCAACAATAACTCCCTCTTCTTACCTGTGTTCTGCTAATAATTCTTCTTTTTTCTTGTTTGCAAACCGATTGGCGCGCTCTTCAAATAAAGATGAAAATTCAACAGGTTGTGGAAAAAACGAGCGCCGCGTAAGGAATTTTAGGGAAAACGGGCGTCGGGCGGTGGTCGCCGGTAAACTGTGGCGTCGCGACGCTCGCGTCCTCTTTTTATAGCGGTGGAGGGCGTCGTGCGCGCCGAAGAAGGGACGACACGATGTCCGGTGGGCAGGAAAATTCGTGTTAACGTGATTTTTATTAAAAATGTTCAATGAACGAAACAGTAATTAATTACTTTTGTCTGAATTGATTAATGTCAATTTGTCTTTTGTTTGCAAGAAATGTCTTACTAGTAGTAGTAGGCCATGGAAATAAGTTCAAACTCTTCTTTTTTTTTTTTTTATTGTATATGGCATTTGCTACAATAATAGAAGCTGTGACAATAATAGTGTTGTTCATTTTTTGAATTCTTCTTTTTCTTTTTTCCTTATATGGCGTTTGCAACACTTGTGAAATTGACATGATAAACAGTGCTGTAAACGTTAAAAACTTAAATTCCCATTTTCGATTTAAATCTAGACACTTGGCATCACTGGCTGGGTTCGGTAATTGCATCTGCGAGCCAAATTTGACAGATGTCACGTGATTCGACACAAGATAAGTGTTCGTCAAAATTTGCTCGCAGAAGCAATTACCGAAAGCAGCCAATACAAACAGTGTTGCCAACAGATTGTCTTCCAATACAGTCAGTAGTGTCGTCATCTTTTCTAGACAAGAAGTCTAATTCCATGTTATGATGTCAACAGTTGGTAACGTTGTTTGAACAATGTTGCCAGATTTCAAATTTTTACATAATAATAATAAAATACAGTTCAATCGCTATTTGTCTATTCAACTCAGTCATAAATACATTGATTGAAAAATGACGTTTAATTTAATGTTTGCCTGTTAGCTACTGTTACAGAGAAATTAGTGTCAAGTGTGAGAGAGAGAACCATCACTAGTTGAAGAAACTATAGGGAGAGAGAAAGATGGAATCAATTTTTGTTTATCTCCAATCTCAGTAATACGAGCTCGAAGAGAACTCCGGCCCGAAGGGCCGGAGTTATACGCGAGCCCGAAGGGCCGGAGTTATACGCGAGCCCGAAGGGCCGGAGTTATACGCGAGCCCGAAGGGCCGGAGTTATACGCGAGCCCGAAGGGCCGGAGTTATACGCGAGCCCGAAGGGCCGGAGTTATACGCGAGCCCGAAGGGCCGGAGTTATACGCGAGCCCGAAGGGCCGGAGTTATACGCGAGCCCGAAGGGCCGGAGTTATACGCGAGCCCGAAGGGCCGGAGTTATACGCGAGCCCGAAGGGCCGGAGTTATACGCGAGCCCGAAGGGCCGGAGTTATACGCGAGCCCGAAGGGCCGGAGTTATACGCGAGCCCGAAGGGCCGGAGTTATACGCGAGCCCGAAGGGCCGGAGTTATACGCGAGCCCGAAGGGCCGGAGTTATACGCGAGCCCGAAGGGCCGGAGTTATACGCGAGCCCGAAGGGCCGGAGTTATACGCGAGCCCGAAGGGCCGGAGTTATACGTGAGCCCGAAGGGCTGGAGTTATACGCGAGTCTAGAGATCGCCCTGAGAATATTTTCCAAAGAACTTCTATTGAGAACAGAGAATTTACCGAGAATATTCTTTGGCCCTAAATTCTCGAGAATTTATGATTTTTTTAGGTTCAAGAATTTATGAGAACATACGTTAATTTACGAGAATTTATGAGAAGTTAGTTGTAATTTTTAAATTTATCAGTTCATTGTGAAAAACGGAAAACAGAGCCGGAGTCTCATGCATCCGTTTTCCGAGGTCCGATATCCGAAAAACCTTCTATTTTGACATATTTCTGTGCCACTGAGTACTGAGTGTATGTCCAGCTCTTTCTCTCAGTCTCTTAAAGAAACAAAAACACATTTTTTTTTTGCACTATTTTTACGAACTGAAAATGCCATAAGTTATTACATTGTCCCCGTACTGTACAGAGTGTGTGTAAACAAATATTTAATTTCATATGTATTGGTTTTGACTAATAAGGACATATTTGTGAAAAACCTGTTTTTTTGGCGAAATTTTTCAATATGGCGGCGCGAGCGGCAAAAATACGAGGTGACAAAGTAGAAATTTGAAAAGAACACGTCAAAACCTATAAAATATTCAAAACTCCCGAAAAACTTTCCAGGTAAAACTACCAAATTAATATACTTTTCACCGTTTTTTGTGCAAAGTTAAGGGAAAATCTTAATATCTCAAAATATTAATGAGATAGATACGGCAAATATGATATTTTCTGAAAGAGGACATTTTCAGCTTTTCGATAGAAAAATAATATACGGGGTGTTGTATTTGAAAAACTCATTTAAAATGGATTTTAAAATTGACGTGTTTAGACAAATATTTTGGACACCCTGTATAGGTACTTAAATCGAAAAATGAAGATAATGTAGAAGTAACTAGGCTAACATTAAATTTCATGTAAATTTTCAAGGGAAATTAATGTACAGTGGCGGAGATATGACAATTTTAAAAAAGTATATTTTGGTCTATTTTTTTTCTTCAAAAAATCATAACTTGACAACGCTGCATTCAACCCAAATACGATTTTAAAGTTGAATACAGGGCATATAGAGGCTTCATTTGCCACACAAAAACAAACCTTATTCCATTAAAAAAAAAAAACATAAAATTTGTGATTACTCTTTTTTGAGACACCCTGTATACTTGAAAATATGCTAAAACTTTTATACAGAACATTTTTCCATAAGTTCAACGGTTTGGCTACTATTGACCGAGGCGCGCTTGTTGGACTACCCTGTAGTATGTTATACAGGGTGGTCCATTTAACTTGAGACAGTCTAATATCTCGAAAACGGTGCGTTTTTGAAAAAAAAAAGTTCAAACAAAAGTTACATGGTATCATGGGGAAAACAAAATTGAGGGACTGATTTTTGACTTTGACAACGTTTTCAAGGTTATTTCAAAGTCAACTCTTTCTTTTCAATGGAAATGTATTTTTTTTATTGCAGAATCTTATTCTACGAAAAAAAAACAAGTAACTTTTACTTGAAGCAGTTGTTGACCTTGAAATAACTAAAAACGTTGTCAATGTCAAAAATCAGTGCCGCCATTTTGTTTTCCCCATGATATCATGTAACTTTTGTTTGAACTTTTTTTTTCAAAAACACACCGTTTTCGAGATATTAGATTGTCTCAAGTTAAATGGACCACCCTGTATATCAATATTTCCTGACGAAAATATTAAAACATCATCCAAGTATACATAGCAATGTGTTCCAATAAACTTGAAAAGAATACACATCATTAATCGTTGCCACGTAACTGGTGAATTCACTAATCCAAAAGGCATTCATAATGTCCCCAAGGACTGTCTTCTGTTGAATATTCTCGGTTCTTGATTGGCTTTAAAATTCAATTTTTTTAATCATCCCAACTTTTGATTGATGTTAAAATTCAATTTTTGACAATTCTCGGCTGTTGATTCGGTTTAAAATTTAATTTTTAAATATTCCTGGCTCTTGATTGGTTGGATTTGACGTTTTAAAATTCAATATTTGAATATTTTCGGTACCTGATTGAAATTTTTGTATTTGGTCAACAAAAAGCCAGGTTATCTGATAACTTTTATGAACGTCATGTGGGGTACCTAAACATAATGCAAATCTCCATTAGCACCACAGATGATGTCATCTGTTTCCCATTACCAGAAAATCTATAGACTAAGCAAGTAGGACAAAGAAAACGACATAAGAAACTTAGCGGTTAAGAAAAAGACTGAGATAAAGTGGGATAAATTAAATAGTGACACAAATTTTGATTATTTCCGGCGTTTAAGTTGGTTCGTATGTGATTTTTGTGCCTGGCCTAGAATAGACAAGTAAGACAAGGAAAACGACATAGGAAATTTACCGATTAAGAAAAAGACAGAGATAAAGTAAAACACATGAAATAGTGACGCAAACTTTAATTATTTCCGGCGTTTGAGTGTAGAGTGGCCAAAAGCTTGGAATAATAAAGAGACAAAACTATAAGAAATTCAATAAATAGGAAAGAGACGGAAATAAAATGGGATATGAAAAAGAGTGACACGAATTTTAATTATTCCCGGCGCTTGAGTGAACTTATGTATTTTTTGTATTTGGCCAATAAAAAGTCTAGACTAGAAGAGTAGGACAAAAAAAAAACGACATAAGAAATTCAATGGTTATGAAAAAGACAGAGATAAAGTGGGATAAATCAAATAGTTGACGTCATACAAGTTACTACGCAACATTTTCTTTTAAACATTGACATGAAAATTTAATGCCACCTTGCATACCAGTGACGTCATCAAAAATATTACGCAACCTCCTCTTTCAAACAGCCTTGATCATTGACATAAAAATCTAATGTCATTTTGGGCCGCAAGCGCTAAAGTAGTTGTGCATGGGTTATGAGTATGACGTTATATCCCCTACCACAATTCCGTCCCATTTCCCAAAATTTACCTTCAAACTACCGTTATAGATATTTACACATCAAAACTTAATGAAAAGGAGTTTTTTTTATTGATATTCAATAATTAATGTTTATGAAACAAAATTCAATGCAGTGTTGCCAAGCCTAAAAACCATTCTTCTTTTTTCTGATTGGGTGGCACTTGCTACTATGCAACAATCTAGTGGTCCAAATTTGGTTCTATAACCATAATCCCTATAAAATTCTTTTGTTGCCAAATGTCACTGAATCTACCAGCACTCATTGTCATTCTTGTCACATTTTGTTAGTGCGTGTAAATGGAAAACAAACATCCCAATGAAATGCCATTGGTTGGCTAGTGATTGGAAAAAAAAAATTTGGCAACAGTGTGCGTCAATAATAAAATACAATAATTATTACAAGAGCAATGTTGCCAGGTTTAAGATAAAGCAAAGCAATGGAGAAAAATAGTGGATGAGTTGGCAACAAAGTAAAAAAAAAAATAAACTAGTCTGCAAGTACTCGAGACACTGATGTGTAAACATCTCGTAAGCGGCATACAAATGACGTCATAAAAGTTACTACGCATTTTCTGCTTTTAAATAGCCTTGATCATTGGCATGAA